TTTCACTCTCTGTAACCCCCCGCGTACTAGTGGCATTCCCGCCTTGCTTGGGGTGAAATGATTAAAAAATAATAATAATTTTGTTTCTGTACATAATTCTGCACAGGAATCTTAATTATCACAAACGTCACCATTAGTCTATAGTTGTCTCCCCTTTTTGGTGTGTCAGATTTACTTCCCTTGGATCATTTGCAGAGTTCATTTTTAAACTATTTTGATTTCGGCTGAATACTAAAACTTAAGACGAGCCTTTCCGTTTGTATATCGTTACTTTAAAAAGTTGATATTTTGGATCATCAGAAAATGTTTTAAAATGACATAGACTATCTTAAAGTGAATGAAAAAATATCTTTCACTCATTTCTTACTTTGTAAAAATTTCTGCAAAATTCTTACATGAAAAAGTAACATACTATAATTGTGACTTTGTCATACATCTTGTACAATGTCCTGTTAATATCATTAATTCCAGGCCATAAACAATCCCTTTCTTCATGAATTCTAATGTACAATATTGAGAGTGTATTCTAAAATTTGTATTTTCTTTTAGTCTAAGATTTTAAAATTTTGATGTTTAATTATTACATCTTTTTCTGCTACCACCAGATATATTTAGTTAATGAAGAAATATTTAATTAATGTAGAAAATGACAAATTGAAGCAGGGATGTGCTTGAGTACCCATAAAGTTAATGGGCAATGATAAGAATTTGCATGACTTTCAAGATTCAGAATTTTTTTAAGCATTTCACTCCAAGCAAGGCAGGTGTGCCACTAGTATGCAAGGGGTTACAGAGGGTAGAGAACTAGAGTAAAGAGGTGTGTTTGGGGAGAGGATACAGAGAAGGATGGGTGCAAGATCAAGGTATCAGAACATGTCAAAGTACACTTGAACATTTGAAGATTATAGTTATCAGGGAAGCAAGTAAGAGGAAGTGTGAGAGAAGAAGCTGTTTGAGTAGAAGAGACGGTTACATTTAACCATTTTGACAGTGAAAGGGTGGGACCGAGATGCTAACCTAGTAGCTTGCTTAAATTCATGCAGTCCGGGAACCAGTGAAAGCAACTTGTCAAAACAGTTGCCATGAAAATACTTATAGAAGAGACAGAGGGAAGCCACAACATGTCTGTGAGAAAGCGACTGCACACCAGATGCCAGATCAGGACCTGTCACATTGCATATCTGTCTCTGGATTTTGTCGAAGACCTTGAGACTTACAGTGGGGACACTAGACCATATATGACAGCAGTATTCCATGCAAGGATACAGTCAGTATTTAAATATAACTGTTATTATTGCTTCTTTTTCCAACTATTATAACTACTACTACTAAATCATCATCACAATCTATTGTGTTACTATAGATATATAAATACTGTGCAAGTTTATTATTATTTTCACTGATGTTGATAGAATTTTTAGATTATTTTTATATCAGCAATATACTACCATGTAACTTTCATTTCATAACATCTGCCCTTTATTGAAAATATTCATAATGTGTGTGTGTGTGGGGGGAGTATCACGTTTTATTATGTTGCCAAACTAAGTGAGACCTGTATTATCATACATAAATAAACCAAAAAGATATAATAAACCAGAGAAACATATTTGACTAACACAAAATCCCACAAAATTTTTAGAAGTTAATATGGACTCTTTGATATTTTATAACATTCATCAGTTTTTTTCATTCATTGATTTTGTTAATTTTTCTACTTTTAAGATTACTTTCAGTTGCTTTAATTGCTTTCCAGGGATTGTGTTTGCTTGAATATTTCTCTGGAAAGGTTGTGGGGACCATTTTGTTAGTTTTGTGACTTTTGTAATTTTTTGGCAAGGTGTGCAGTAGTTAGCTTTGCAGAACAAAAAAGAGTTTTTTTTTTGCATGAATATACTCTTTTAGGATATGGGTATTTTGTTTAAAATCTGTTATATTTATAGTGGTTAGAGTGCTCAGTAGTAGAGATAGTGTTTTTAGAAAATCTGTCTGAATATCACATTGAGATATGAAATCAATAGTCACCATGCAGGGTTGATTCCTGTATGTATGTATGTATGTATGTATGTGTGTGTGTGTGTGTATATATATATATATATATATATATATATATATATATATATATATATATATATTATAATTGTTCTAATAAAAAATATGGTAGCAAGAGAAAGGAGTAACAAGGATTAGAGTTTATTGTTGGTAGAGAGTACAGGAATAGCAATCAGGTGTACATGTAGTGTCAGGAGTTGAACCATTTCTTGTGCCAGTGTGGCCAAGGTCACAGGATAGGATGGTACACATTTGGTTGATGGAGGTCAGGGTTGTAGGTCACCTTGTCAGTTGTTTGACCTGTTGTGTTGAAAACGGGATGGTGTCGGATTGGCATGATCTTGGTAGCCCTGCTCTGTAGGACAGAGACCACTAGTATTGACTGTGAAGGAAATGCCTTGAAAACGAGTCGAAGTAAGCTGAGATGATGGTGGGTGTTGATAAGACCGTTCTGTGAATGAAGGTTGCTGGTGTCAACTGTGAAGGGAATGCCTTGTAAACAAGTCAAGGTAACAGCAGGTGTTAGAAGGCCTGTTCTGTGGAACAGAGGTTGCTGCATCAACTGTGAAGGGAATGCCTTGTAAATGAGTTGAGATAGAGTTGTTCTGTGGAGTGGATGTCACTGGGGTCGACTGCAAAGGGAATGCTGTGTAAACGAGTTAAAGTAGGCCTAGGTGACAGCATGGCTTGGTATCGATGAAGGCTTGTAGCTGGGAGGAATCAAGGTTGAGATATTTTAAGTTGAAGCTGGATAGCTCTGCTAGGTGGAGTCAAGGTAGTAAGTCCAGCTAGGAAGTGGTAATGGTCATTGAGATGTGTGGTCATGTTGAGTGATGGTGGTGGTAGTAGTGCTCTGCATGGTGGCAAATCTGCAACTCTGTTATGGTGATGAGGTCATGGCGGTGATAGCAGCAAAAATGTGTGACAGCCAGCAGCCAGACATCTAGTGTCCTGGGCATTGTCAGAGCCTGCTTTTAAGTGGGTCTGGTAGTCTCCAGCGGCATCTCTTTTACTGGTGGGGATGTTTGCAATTGTCCACTGCCGGAGTTCACTTCATAGACTGGATGTGATACGTGGAGCCCAATGCGCAGAAAACAACTTTTGTTATTTCATCTTCTGCCTTTGTGGCAGTCACATCCAACTGACAAGACACTGTGATTATGTTTTTTTCTTACATTTTTCTTGTAGATACAAGAGATTTCTAGAATGACAACAGTTAATAAAAGTTTAATCGACTTCTCTCTCAACCAACTTCAAAATTTGATGGGACACTACTCATCAGTGTCAGAGGGTTCAATAAATTTATTGAATTATTACTAGCTATCATATTTATACTCTCCATAAAAAACACTAATTATAGACATTAAACAAATTTGAAATTTCTACTATGCTAGAGTCAGTTAAGGTGACAACATTTAAATATACAGAAGCAGTTAATAAATCAATAAAAGTTCAAATGACTTATCTCTCTATTGACTTTAAAGTTTTGCAGAAGCTTTTATTGTATTTATTGAATCTTCTGTGATGAGAAATGTTTGATAAAGTCCTAAGGGAGATGAAATGTGTCACATAAAAACTTTTTCTACTTTGTCATACATCTTTCTTCCAAAACTGTTCTTGATATATAAAAATTTATATATCATTATCCCATATATATATATATATATATATATATATAGAGAGAGAGAGAGAGAGTAAAGGTAACAAATCCGTTGGTATGTAATCCAAGTGGATCCTAGTAATATCAAATATTAAAACTGATCCACAAAAAGAGCTCAATGTATTTATTATAACAGAGCCAATAAATAGTATTACACAACAAAATCCAAAAATTACCTCATATAGTTGGGGGGGTATAGATCTATTTCAACCGTATCCTGGGTAAAACGATAAACTACATCCAGCAGCAAGTTCCTCTGATCAGGAGGATTTGAGGAGCATGGAAACACCTCTTAATTGCTGGCTTTCCCAGGTCCACCCTGACCCAGGGTGGTAGCACCTGTTAGGGTCCCAGCTATGGGTAAATAGTTAACCTTCAAACTGAGGTCAAAACACTATGAAAGTATAAAAATAGCTTTCAATGCCAGCAGTACGTTTTTGTAAAAAAAATTACCAGCAATGGATTTTTGAAGAAAAAAATTATTACCAACAATACATTTTTGAAGGAAAAAAATATTACCAGCAATGAAAATCTTGTTGGCATTAAATAACCCATTGAGGTTGATATGCCATAAAACAAAACGAACCAAACCAATCTATTTCAACCAACGAAAACTTTGTGAGGTAATTTGTGATTTTGTTGTGTAACATATATATATATATATATATATATATATATATATATATATATATATATATATATATCAACACACCACATAACACCCTTGAGCACTTAGCCTTGGAGCAGGTAGAATGTAGATCAACGTGTTTTAGTGGACTCAGCAATTTTCAATCTGCTTGTCTGAATCATCTTCAAGAAGTGAGAGCAAGATCGAAAAAGTCACCCAATCTAACAGTAATCTCATCTCACAATCCTCACACTTGCTCCATATGTAGCCTCCTTTATAAATCACTAGCGGGTCTTAAATGCCACTTAAGATTATCGCACAAACTTTCATAACTGAATCAATAAGCTGTCAGATCCTCATACGTCAAAACCGACAGGAGAGTCCATTATTATTATTATATATATATATATATATATATATATATATATATATATATATATATATATATAATGCATAATATACAATTATCTTCCTCTTATCAAGTGTTTAAGGAAATTATACTACTTTAGATTCAAAATTGTAAATCATTAATCGGGAGCTATTTATAGATCTGAATTCCATAACTACAACACTTCTTGTTCTTTTAAAACTAATCCAAATTATATATTTTCAATTTTCTTTAATTGTTCTAACACATGTTGATTTTGTTCTGTATTGCAGGAAACATTCTTTTGAATATAATGCTGCTTCCCTCAATGCAGCTGAAGAAGCAAGGAAAGAAAGATGTGAGTTTCGTTTGCATTCCAAACCCTCCTGTCAGCAAGGACAATGAAAACAAAGTAATCCCAATGCTCCTGCGAGTGAAAACTCCTGAAGAAGCGGATGAACTTCTAGAAGAGCTGAATAAGCATAAACATGGTATGGAGGAAGAGGAGGATGCCACCCAATGATTGGGTTTTCCTCGTTAACCAAGGCTATCAACACATGCTGTTAATTACATCTTTCTTTACTTCTCTCTCAGTGTCTCTCGGACATTGTCTTCTTCTCCTCCTTTTTTTTTTTTAATGTCAGTTAGAACCTAGCCGCCTTGTTCAGCAAATTCCCCACATTATATGATATGTATATAATCTGGAAAAAGATAATTCAACAATAAATAATCTAAACTTTTCTCGCTTTTTTTGTTTATCGGAAAAGACTTGTAATATGGGAAAGCATCTTTTCTGCTTGTAACAGAAAGAGAATCTTTTAATGTTTACCATGTGGCTGGTTAAAAAAAAAAACACAAAAAAAAAATCAAAGTTTTTTGTCTCTATTCTTTTCAGATTACATTGCAATTTTTTTCTTTTTCTCTCTCTTGTAAATTTACACTTCTTGAGTATTGTTTAATTTTCAAGTTTGACCTTGAGTAAACCAAATAAAAAATGTAAACCATTTTAACTTTCCAAAATTAAAAAAAAATATGGCTGATATATCAATAGTACTTTTCTTTGCTGCTTAAAGTAATTGAAATTTTGAAATCTTAAACAAATCCAAAGTTATGCATGAATCAGTTTCAACCAGAGCCGGTGCATGCTACCCCGAACCCCCTGATAGAGAGGGGGTCAAGCCTGATTGGAGGCTCTGGTCAGTGCTTTGTGACCATCGCTATCTTAGCTTTTTTCTGTCTACATTTATATACGTTACAAATTAAACTAAGCACAACTGAAAGGTTGAAAATTTTTTTTGCAGATTTCGATGTCATTGTGAAGTCTTTATTTTTTGTCCAAATCTGTTTTGCTCCTGCTAAGTCTCAAAAAAAACCAACATAAAATTCACTATTTTTTTATCCATAATGTTGAATGTGTTAAATTATTCAACATTTTAACAAGGAAAATCTCAAGTTGATGATTGCAGCAGAACATTGTTGATTTATTTAAGATGGAATCATCTATTATAACATGTCTCGAATTTGTATTTAAATACATTGTATTTTATTTTCAATTTTGAATTGTTCACATATATTGCATATGATTCATTATTGTACATAAAAGGTTACAATAAAATTTGTGTTTAATATGAATACTACCTTATGAAAATTGAGATGTAGTATCATAGACTCAGAGGCGGGTACAAAACCCTTGCTCTGTCCCTGATTTCAGCATAAAAAATAGTATCAGATACACATCAGGCATCCATTTAAATTTTAAAACATTTCTGAGTATAAATTTCAAATGTATTAAGATGTTATCACTGCCTCATTAAAGTTTTTTGATTAAACCTTATGAGTTTTGTGTATGTTTATTTGTTTCTCATAGGAATATTTATAATTTATTTTTTTGGTACTGTGGGAAATTTGATAATTATTTAAAAGGTTTCAGTTTGGTTTTTTTAAAATAGTTTACACACACACACACACATTTGTATGTGTTTGTTTTTTAAGATGGAGGTGAGTCTCTCATGTCAATGTCTGTTGGAGATAGTATGAACTTGTATATATTCTTTTAAACAAAAAAATCTGTATAATCAAAAAAGTAAAAATGACTGAAAGATTTTTTTTATCTGTTTGACTGCATTGAATATGCTAATTACTCAAGCAGTCAGAAATGAAGACTTCATACCGTTTGACTGCATTGAATATGCTAATTACTCAAGCAGTCAGAAATGAAAACTTCATACCGTTTGACTGCATTGAATATGCTAATTACTCAAGCAGTCAGAAATGAAGACTTGGGTGTTCTGTTAACAGCTTGTTATGAAGCTCATGTTAAATGAATAAGTCATCAAGAGGAAAAAAAAACACGTTTTTATTCATTTTACAAAAGCAAAATAGGAAAACTGAAAAACACAGACAAGATGGTAAAAGAAAGCAAAAAAAAAGGACTTTTAATTCTAACAAAACAAAATGCATGGTTATTAGTAAAAAAAGACAGAAAATTTAACTATTTGGGTAGTGTAGTAATAGATGATGAAAAGGGTGATACAGTATATATTCCAAAGGTGCATAGGAATAGTAAAAAATGTCTTTTAGAAACTAAGTAAAGTATTAAGGCATAAGAAAGTGTCTTTAGAAACTGTACCAGAAACGTATTTGCAGATCCAAAAGTTGCGGGTTTCAGAAGAATCAACTATCGCACCACACAAGAAAACAAAACATGCCCTACCTTTCAAAAGAAAGAACTTATATACACTGAAGATGCCTATGATGAGCCAAATAAAAATTTACATAGGCTTCCAAACTCTCCATAAAAGAGAGTTTGAAACATGGTCTGTGTTTTTTCTGGCAAAGATTACACATAACACAAGTGTTTAGTGTGATAAGATATTATTTTCTACAGAAACATTGCTGAACTGTTATGTAATATCTGATTTCCTGTATAGCATTGAATACTATAAAATCTCTTCATGGATGAAAGAAAGACTTGAAGTGACTGAGATGTGGTTCTACTGATGAATGCTAAGAATAGCATGAATAGAATATGTGAATAACAAGGTTTTAAGGTAAATAGCAAGGAAACTGATACAATCAAAAAGAGCTGAATTTTCTGAGAAGTGTAATAAGGAAATAGAGCTTGGAGAATCTAACACACCCAAGGCAAGTGAAGCAGAGGAAACAGTGGGTAACCTACTTAAGGAGTTTAAATAAATGAATGGCAAAACAAAAGAGGGATGGTAAAGAGTCATAAGTTTTTTAAAGCTACAAAAGAAAGGAAGTTGTGGAGAGTCAGGATTGCTCACATCCTGAAAGCTTTTCGATCTTCATCTCGTCCTCACTGTTGTGGCCTTGTGCTAGACTAAGTCAAACTTAATAAAGGGAGACATTTAACATTGAGTTATGAGTAGCAATCTATTTTAGAAGAGCATTAGCTAATGTGAATTCAATCCTTGTGGGTGCTCCATCATCACAGCCTTATGCCAGACTAAGTTAAGGTTAGTAGAGATCTTTAATATTTATGTTTAATAAGCTGTTCTAGAAGATCCTGAGCTAATGTAAGTCAAAAACATTTTGGTAATACAAACGCTTTACAAAGAATGAAATCAACAGTTCTACACAAAAGTTATGCTAGGTTATGAGGATCTCCTTAGTCGGCCTAGCACAGAAATTTGGGAGCTGCTAATAAAAAAAGACAAATGACATTAACAGTAGTAGACGAGCACAGCAGCACTAATCAGCAGGTAGGTTAGGTTTAAGGCTCCAAGTTCTCCACAGAGAATTGTCCTACAGGACAATAGTGGATTAAAGTGTTGACTTGTTAATTTGGTGACATAGTAATTGTGAATTCAATTCCAGTGTGTATTTGGACTCAGTGGAAATGGGACAAGCAATAAAAGAGCCAGTTTAAAAAATTAAAACTATATGAGATATACATGGGCTGTGGACAAAATTGGAATTCCCTGTAGCTTACACAGATTGAAATACACCTGATGAAGATTGGAGGGCAAAACGGCCGAAATGTGATAACAACAAAGATGAGGATAATAGTCCAAATCTAAATAGTATAAATAAATTATGCACAAAAGCAAGGTTTTATTTTCTTTTTTGATTTGAAATTGAAGTTAAGTACGAACATTTGTTCCTTCATGTTAATGTTGTCTTAACAAGGGAAGTGGAACTTTTCTACCAAATTCAACAACAACTGTGGGGATATGTGGCCATGATTTCATGCCTGCAAGGGTCAAGACTTGAGGTAGGTATGATCATGGATTGTTGATTTTAATATTGCAGTAGACTTAATATGTCAGCTCATGAGCCAAAGGATCAGCAACCTGAAAAAGTTTACAAAGTTCTCTATTAATTTTATTGTGCTGTAAATTGTACATAAATGAAAATAGCAAAGTGAACTGAAATGTCCAGAGTTGAATTTATATTGATTTTTTCTTTTTTATCAAGTTTGAAGTATTGCATGAATTGCTTTTTGGAAATGATTTGCTTACTTTTCTGAGTTATTGTCAAGGCAGGAATTTATTTTTTTTAAAAAAAAGTCTCTGTCTATATATCTGAGATGAGGTATTATGTACACTGTTTACATTATTTGGACTATTGTCCTCATCTTTGTCACCATATTTATTACAACATTTCGGCTGTTGTATGCTCCGGCCTTCTTCAGGTTGTTGGAATATCAAACTGAACCCTTTATTTCACTTACTGGGGTAGACTATTCTAGTTCTACATGCCATGTTTTTTTAATGGATGTCAGTTATCAGTTATCTTCTGTTAATTCCCCTCTCTAAGTTCTCCATTGCATTAACTGTGAAAAATCAAATGACATATTTTTCTTCAAAAATTTTATTCAAAAAAATCCACTGTCCTCAAATTACACATGGCACAGTGGATAAAATTATTGGTTGGATCAGTGACAGAACCCAAAGAGAGGGTTCAATTACCCAGTTAAGGCAGAAGGAGAACTTTATTTTTGGGGAATTAACATTATAAATAACTGATAACTGACATCCATTAAAAAAATATGGCACGTGTAACTAAAACAGTCTACCCCAGTGAGCGAAATAAAGGGTTCAGTTTGATATTCCAACAACATGAAGAAGGCCGAAGCATACAACAGCCGAAATGTTGTAATAAATATAGTGACAAAGATGAGAACAATAGTCAGAATAATGTAAATAGTGTAAAAAGAAAATCATTAAATGTTTTCACTTATTATCATTTGGTTTGAATAGGAGGGTAAACTGGGTCCTATAGCTTTGATTGGCAACACAGTTTACTACAGAAATAAAGAATAGCCTACTGTGGAAAATCTGCCTATTCAGCCATGAATTAAAAAAGATATAATTTCCCAAGTGTGTATCACATATAGCGCATTGATTTGTTTAGCCTCCTTTTTAAATATACAGTAATCTTTACTTATCTACAGGCCTATAACTACATCATGTTGAAACACTGGTTCTTGTATGATCTCTGAAGTTAAACAGTCAAACATGGTCAGTACCTAGAGGAGTGACTTCTTGGGAACACCAGGTGCTATAAACTTGAATGTGCAGGTGGTGTAATTGATAATGGCTTGAAATTGTTAATTGGAGAGCCAAGTTCTAATTCCAGTTGAGTTCATTATATTCACTTACATGCAAAGACTCTTGAGAAAGGTGTGAATCCACCTCTTCTCCCTCCAGCTATGGGTTAATTAGTAAGACATGTATTACTAAAATCAATTGATTAATTTACTTATCTAGGGAGAATATGTTCCAGGACTCCCTAGCAGATGCTTGAAACCATAGTAATTAGCCTTATGTATATTATTTTTTTCTATACACACGTATAATAAAGTTTAATTTACAAGTTAGGCATAATGAGAAATTAACAACAATAAGTAACAAGACAATTATTAGCAATGTACTGTAATAAAATTTGTGTGATAGAAGGTTCATTCTTATTGTAGATCTTTGTAATCTCAGTATGATTTCTTTTTCTTTCCTCATTGTCAATTGCTTTCATCTTTTTCACCTAAAGGAATCATTTTACAGCTTCTCTTTGGCATATTCAATGTCACTCCTTTTGAACTTTCGGATCATTATTAAGTAAATCTTAATTGTTTATTTCTGGCATGGATAATAGAAAGCTGAAATTAGGAAGATAGAACAACTTAGAGGTTGGAAGTAAAGATTCATCAGTACATACCAGCCAATATTTGGAAAGACAATTTGTATCGGTGTGTTAACACCACTAGTTTTGCGATAGCTGAGCATTTAAACAACTATCAATGTGCCTGGTCCTACAATCAAGACCTTTTTTCCACTTTAATGTTTTAGAGTCAATTTATATTAAGTCTTGTCAGCCATCCCTCTCTAAGCAGAAAGAGTGGTTGTTAAGCTTAAATATAATTAGCCTTTGATGTTTATATATTTATATATAATATTGAGTCTTTGGTGTTTTTAATTTTAGTCACTGCATACTTTTCTTGTCCTCAATTGAGCGCTGATCAGAGAAGACTGATAAACCAATTAAGCTTCTTTTTGATGACTAATTTTTTGTATTTTGATATTACCATTTTATGGTACTTGGAAAATTTTATACTCACAGGACAGAGGAAAACAACGTATAACTTACCTAGTTATCTCAAGTAAAGGGATGGTTGAACAATGTTTAGGAGAGATAACAAAAAGAGAAAATTAATTAAGAGCTACAAAGAACAGGAAATTGTGGAAAGCCATGATCAACTATGTCCTGAAGGGACACTATACATAAAAGAAGTTTTATTTTCTTATTCTTTCTGCTTGTTTTAATATAACTCTTTTAATCTTTATTATAAAACTGAAATTGTGGAAAACTGCAACTAAGAAAGGATTACTATAAAAGGAAATTGGAGAGGATTGCATGGATGTAACCAAAGCTAAATACAGAGTAAATATTTTTCTTTTTTTCTAATGTCATGTCTCTTCAGAATGTAGGCAATTATGGCTCTCCACAGATTCTTTTCTTTATCATCTTTCAACTGTCATGACTTGTTTAAAAAGATAGTGGAATCATTCCAGTTTTCATTTTTCTTAAACCAGTTGTAAACTAAAACTAATATAGCCATTTACTTATCACAGTGCTCATCAGCCTTTTACTATGTAATGTCCACTTTTCAATATTAGAAATCAGGAACACCCAATCAATAATTTCAGAATTAACAGATTAAATGTTATTTAAGTTTTAACAACTTGGACTAGCAAAAAAGATAAATTTGAACAGAATTTCATTTCTATGGGTAACCATTTATTTGTACAGATTATGACACTAGAAATTTATTTTCGTAACATCATCAGACTTTTATAGGGACTTTTATAGGGACCTATAATTTTACTGCCTACATTACTAATCTAAAGCATCATTCTTCTTCCTTCCTGTTGCCTTTTAGGTTGTGTTGGTTGACTACCTGTATAAAGGACCCCACATCTGGCCTCATCCTCAACTCTATCTAATGTAAACTCCATATTCATCAGTAAAAATTACTGTTAAGAAATCAGTTTTCATGTACCTCTTTGCCCAACTTAAACATTTCTCTTTGTTGTTTGGCTAAAAACATGAAAGTCATCTTCATATTTCTTTATGTACAATGCAATCCTGTGTTATTTTTATGTGTAAAAAGCAAGAAGATATTTTAATTTGGTGTTTAATGTAATGTAATCCCCTCTTTGCATAGAAGGTAGGAAATTGTCATTTTACAATTTCTTTTATTTTGTCATTCAGATGATTTTATTGTTTTTTTAATTGATTTGCTTTTTAACAATTTATCAACCTTTTGCAGGTTATTTAAAATCAGAATATATTTTTAGATAGAATATTTTTAGTGATAATAATGTTTTTTACTGATACAAGTTCTACTAATTATCCCATAGCTAGGGGGAGAAATTGTATTCATATCTTTCTCAAAGGTATTTGCACAAAAGTGAATATAACGGATCTGACTGGAATTGGAACTCTGCTCTCCGATTTTCAATTCCAAGTCTTTATCTATTGCATCATCCATACATCCTAACTTACAGCACCTGATATTCCCAAGCAGTCACCCATCTAGTTACTGACCAGGTTCATTGATGCTTAACTTCAGTGATTGTATGAGAACCAATGTTTCAACATGATATGGCCATAAGTCAGATGATTTTAGAAGTCATTGTAAACTCTGAACTTGGCTATTTTCAGTCATTTCAAATAAAATGAAGACATGTTTTTTGCTATAAAATGTAATTGTTGGCTGTCTTCATGAGCCAAACTAAATTAACATTGGAAGTTGTTTTAGCCATAAAGAAAGAATTATCTGCAGGTTGGTTATTTAAAACACCTGTTTTTAGGGTGCGGCTAAAAACAAACTCATCTGCATACAACCACTTTCTCAGATCAATTATTAAAAATGTCTTTGAGAAAATGAGACCTGTAAGGTTTTTTGTTAAATTCTTCTAAACATAAGCAACACTTGTTAATAGCAGATATGGTAATAGTAATATTAGCCATTTATTTATGGGGAAATATTCTACATCCATTGATTGAGAAGCCAGTGCTACTGTTGGTTGAAATTTATAAAATGTTTCTCTTAAAATAGTTTTTCAGGGAAATAGGTTTCTCAAATCCATTAGCTGTTATCGCTATTTCCAAGGCTTACGTCCTAACCATTTTTTTTTTGAAGTGTTGAACATCAACTTCTTGATTATATCATTATTTTCTCTTCTCAAACCCAGTAGCTGTTATCACTCTTTCCAGTACTGATAGAGGTTTCCTTCCTAACCTTTTATTTGAAGTGGTATGGAATATCAACATCTTGATTATTATCATTATTTTCTCTTCAAGTTACATATGATACCCATTTTATTTGCTGCTATTGGCACTACAAAATCACAAAGATCTGTGCCAAATAACAGAAACATCACATCACTTGATGACTTCCAAACACAGAATCACTAATCAGCAGGTAGGTTAGGTTTCAGGCTCCATGTTCTCCACAGAGAATTGTCCCATAGAACAATAGCCTAGTGGATTAAAGTGTTCCTTGTGATCTACAGGTTTCATTTACTGGAAGCCATTTTTAACCATAGATATGAGATAACAGTCGTATACAGTTTATATATATATATATATATATATATATATATATATATATATATTTTTTTATTTCTGAATGTGTTTATGTATATGAAAATCTCAATCTGACGGATCTATTTAAAAAGATGACACGAGTTTTTAGGTTGTTTTCATTTTGTAGCAATTTACAACCCACAGTACAGCCTATTCTACGTACATTTTACTTGTCTCTTGTACTAAATTTGTTACAACTGATCCATATGTTGAGGTATTGAAGTGTTTATTATCTACTAAATAATGTCACTAATGGAAGATTTAGAAAGCAATAAAGAGGTACATTTTTCTGATGTTTCTTTATTTTTATAATTAAAAAGCTTTAAACTATCATTTTATAGATTTTGTATCTAATGACAATAAGCAAAAAAACTACCCTTTAAAAAAAGTAAATTTCCTCATTTTTTTTTTTTTAATCGTTTGGCATCATGTAACTTTTTCCCACTATTTAAGAGTTAATGAAAAAATAGCCAAACTCAGGCACTTTAATCCCCTTCAGAGTACTCCTCTTGGGTCCTCTTTCACTTATCCTAGTACCCCTCCCATTTTTCTTAAACTTTTCAAATTCTTTTTTTTTCTTTTTGGATCACCTGCAATGTCCACATCATGTTCTTAATCTTATCCACAATGTTTTAATAACAATTTTAACCTTGGGAAACGCCACAAGTTGCAAAGAACCAAATCTGGACTCGGTGAGAAAGATGAATCTCCTCACTCACTCATTATAAATGCAATAGTAACAGGAGTGGGAGAGTGTCTATTTGCACATATGCAATAAGGTCTCTACTGATTGGTTGCCAAGTTGCATAAGAAGCTTTCAAAATGGCTGAATAACTTTTATACAGACACATCAGTTTTATGATGCAGTAGCCTAATTCAAACCTATTCTCAGTAAGCAACTATAAAAATGACTTAGAATATTCTGTGAATTTTCATCTATATCATATTCTTTTTGTTGATTGTGGTCGATTGGTTAGAGTTTTAGCCTTCTGACCATGAAACTTAAGTTTAAATCTCACCATAGTTGATTTGTTGGTTTGATATCAGACTGGGAAGACAATCCCAGCATGTGACATTTTCAAAAAGCCTGAAAACCATACCCCATCGGTTGACCAAAACTTGTGAATGAAATTGGGTAGACAGAACTGTTTGGTAGCCATTTATTGTTGTGTTATGTGAATAATTATGATTATAACCAAGCAATTTGAAGTGAATCAGGTTTTAGCATAAAATGACCCATAAGATGTTGATGTGCCATGAAAACAAACCAAATATATTCTTTTTAATTGATGTAAAATGTTCTATAAATTTCTCAGCTATCAAGTGAATTTGATGAAGTAAGAAAAACATCAAAACTAATGATTATGAGAAAGTAATTTTCTGGAAGTGTTAATAAAATTTTTCTTCACATACAATAACTTAATAAGAAGCAATCAAGTATCCAAGTTTAATCACTTTAATTCCAAATAGGTTCATCAGGTTTTTTGGAATAATTAGTCTAGTAAGAAACAAAAAAAAATTCATTAGAAACAAAGAGAACAGTACTGAACTGTTACATAATATCAGTCCTCCTATATTTGCAGTTGAGCTGGTAGATGTAACTGTAAATTCTATGCTAACAATTTATTTTCTCACACTTCTCGCTTGTGGAACTCCTTTCCAGTTCATAGGTTTCCACGCAAACTTTAATCTGGAAAAATTTAAATCCAATGTTAATCACTATCTACTATTCTCCGGATTATTCTTTTCTCTTCCCACTCATTATTAATGTTTCTGTTACTAATTCTTCCACACCCTGTAACACCTTGGGGTGATACCAGTATTTTTTTTTTAAAAGAAAACAAAAGATTGAATGCTGGACAATGTCCTCACAGAGGAAGAAGGAATTTGAAGCAACAGAAATGTAGTTCTATAGAAGGATACTGAGAATACCATGGGCTAAACATGTGAGCAACAATGAAGTTTTGGCAAAAATGGTAACAAAAAGGACATCAGGGAGAGAGAGAGTTAAAATTTCTAGGGTACATAATGAGGAAAGAGGGCTTGGAAAATTTGATACTCACAAGACACATTGAAGGCAAGAGAGACAGAAGAAAACACGCTTAGTGAACTTGATGGTGGAATAAAATTTAGGAGAGATAACAAAAAGACAAAATTTTGTAAGACCTACAAAGAACAGGAAATTGTGAAGAGACATGATCACCTATGACCACAGCACATAGAAGAAGAAGAATGTAGACAAATATTACAATTTGTTAAATAAACCAAACTTTATTTAAAGGTTTTATAAACAAAGGAACATGAAAACTGTTTGGTTTGACTGTTAAGTAATAAGTTATTAACTGAACTATTGATGACTACAAATCTGAATTTATAGAATATTTTACACCAATTAAGAATATATTTGGTTTGGTTTGTTTAATGGCACACCAAGATCTTACGGGTCATGCTTATAAATCTTCTTTTTATATAATGTCCGTAATGTATAATCTTACATTTTTCAGTTTAAAATTTTATATTGCTACTAGTTTACTTGTACCGTTTCAAAATGGCAGCAGTATAGTTATATAATTTTACAATTGCATTGGTAGTAATTTATGCATGAGTAACCATGGATTTTTATTTCTGTAAGTAATTCTTTTGTTGCATGTAAGAAATAATTCTACTTTTTTAAATTATTAAGAAAGCTAATATGAAATAAAAAGCAATTTGATCCCCCTACTTACTGATGAGATATTTCATTGTTATGGCAACATAACACACACTTGGTTATTGGTGTCTAGTTATGCCTCTTGTTAACTAAAGAATGTTTCATGACTAAGAGAAAAGAATGAAACTACATGATTGATAAGCATTTAAAGTCACATTAAATATTTTCTTAATTTATAAAATAAAATGCACGCATGCACACACACACACACACACACACACACACGCACATTATATATATAATCAAATGAATAAATATAAATAAATGTACGTGTAATTGTTCACATACAAATACATACATATATCCTTTGGTGTAAGAAAAAAGTGCTCAATGTTAAATAACGGAGCTATTAACTATATATTAATAAAAATACATAGTACCCTATGCTGCAAGTATAACACAGAGTTCCATGCGCAATTAGTACCTGAAGATTGCATTATGCATGAAACTTTGAGTCGTACTGTGGCACAGGGTACTATGTATTTTTACAAATATATGCATATATATATGTAGATAGATAAGTGTAATTAGACAGCATGAATTCATCCAAACAAGTTTTATTAAATTCTAATGACTTTCCAATTATGAATATGTAATGAATAAATTGTTCAGGATTTTTCTGTTATATTCAAGTACTTCAATATAACAGGAAAACAATGAACTTTGGGCAATTTATTCATAACTTCAATCCCGACGTTCCACATCTCATTTGGAAATTGGACAGATATAATAAAATGTTGAATAGATACACTTTGTTGGTAAAATTTAATAATATATATATATATATATATATATATATACACACACAAACAGGGTGTCCCATAATGATGCAAGTATTTTGTATTATAAAAATGACATCATAGAGTACCAAATATATTTATTACATAACTGATATACAAGAGTTCAACATATTATATAAGTTTTGAATATTATGTCCTTGAGAGTGTCACCACTATGAAGAGAACATGTACAAGTTACTTCTTTCATTTCATTTCATTTCAAACGCAGTGTGGCTTAGCATATCAACTAGAACGGCTCTCTACAGATGCCTTGTATTAGTTGCACAGCTGTGCAGGGCTTTCACTTTAAAATGTGTCCCATCATTATATATGTGCATGTCCCATCTGTATATGTGTGCATATATATATATATATATATATATATATATATATATATAAAAAAGTGAACATTGAAGTCAACACTTAGAGGCGACAGTCTGTTTCAACAAAATGAAACAGACTGTTGCCTCTAAGTGTTGACCTCAATGTTCACTTTTATATTTACACACTTTCTATCTCTGATATTGAGCACT